GTTGACTTAATTCCGTGTAGACTCTTTTTTTCTCTCCGTCGCGTCGCCTAGACTAATAAAACATATCTATATCATCTATACTATTATCTATACTATTATATAAAATTCTTACGGGTGGTGTATGTTTGAACGTTAATAACTTGAAAACTATTGGACCGAATTTTTACCACAAGTACATGAAATAGGGCTAGAATTTTCCGGGGAGTGCTATAGAGTGTGTAGTTTTTCGTTACCGATTTTCTGGAAACCGATTTTTTTAATTTCTCTAATTCTTACGGCTAAAAGAATTAAAAAAATCGGTTTTCAGAAAATAGATAACGAAAAACTATACACTCTATAGCACTCCCCGGAAAATTCTACCCCTATTTTATATGGTTTTAATACAAATTCGGTCCAATAGTTTTTAAGTTAAAAACGATCAAACATACACCACCCGTAGAAATTAGAAAAAATAAAAAACAAGTAAAGTGTGCAAGTAGAAACCTGCACATTGCTTCTTCATAGTTTTTAAGTGTGCAAGTAGAAACCTTTGCTCACAAAGCTTCCTCTATTTGTTTTGGCTTCCTCATAGAGGAAGGCCTGCCTAACATAATTAAAAATAGACCGATATCTTAAAATTTACAGAAGTTAGAACTATTACAGACATTTTTCTAAAAATTAGGGACCTTTGATCACGTATAAAGCTGAGTCTAATCAACCAAATCTTAAAGAATTATATATGAAATAGGGGTAGAAAAGATTGAAGAATATAATAAAATTAGAAATAGATCGATATCTCCAAATTTGCGGAAATTAAAGCATAAACAAACATTTCTGCAAAAATTCAAAATTTTATTAAAAAAGAACCCCTTGATTATTAGCAATTTTTATTAATTCTATATATTCTTCAGTTTTTTCTACCCCTATTTCATGTATAATTCGTTAAGATTTGGTTGATTAGTTCTGGAGTTATAGAAATTTCGGTAAATTTGGCACATACATACATACACACATACACACATACATACACACATACCGACATTTTTTAAAATAGCGATTTTTCGACGTTTTAGAACATTCTGAACACATTGGCAAAAACAACTAAAAAAAAATTTTTTTACGAAAACAAAGCTTCCTCTATGAGGAAGCAAAAAACGTTATTAACTAAAAAACTATTGGACCAAATTTTTATATTAGAATTATATAAAATAGGTAGAAATTTTCAGCGAGTGCTATAGAGTGTATAGTTTTTCGTTATCTATTTTCTGGAAACCCATTTTTTAAATTTTTTTAATTCTTACAAGTGGTGTATGTTTGAACGTTTTTAACTTAAAAACTATTGGACCGGATTTATATTAAAACCATATAAAATAGGGGTAGAATTTTCCGGGGAGTGCTATAGAGTGTATAGTTTTTTGTTACCGATCTTCTGGAGAAACCGGTTTTTCTAATTTTTTTAATTTTTACGCGAAATAATTGACCGAATCTCAAAGAATTATATATGAAACAGGGATAGAATTTTCTAAAAAGTGATATAAAGTGTATAATTTTTTGTTTCCGATCTTTTTGGAAACTGGTACCAAAATTTTTCCAATTTTTCGGGAAATAAATTGATCGAATCTTAAAGAATTGTATATAAAACAGAGGTAGAATTTCTCGGGAAGTGTTATAAACTGTATTAGTTTTTCGTTACCAATCTTTCAAAAATTTTATTAATTTTTCGAGGATGGGTTTAATTGCCACGATGTGTATTAGTTTTTGATAACAATTTATTTTTTTATGTAGGCTAAGTTGTTTATTTCACATATTATATGTGAACAGTCACTTCAATTCGTGGCTTTTGTGACTGTCGCGAGTGATAGAGAAGTTATTGGAGTTTTCTTGCAATACCCTGCAGTTAAAACGAGAGAAACAACTTATTCGATTTTTATATAAATAAGATTATCATTAAAAATTTGGATAAATGGAAAAAAAAATTTCCAAGAAATAATTTACACAAAAAAGAATGATGCCAAAATTTTGTTAAAATATGTGTGTAAAATAATCCAATTTTTCATGAGAGGGAGAGGGAGGGAGGGAGAAAGGGAGGGAGGGAGGGAGGGAGGGAGGGAGGGAGGGAGAGAGAGAGAGAGAGAGAGAGAGAGAGAGAGAGAGAGAGAGACACTATTGAGTGAGATTATTTGCGTGTATTATTACACATGTCCTCCGGGGCGAAGCCCGGGTAACCAGCTAGTATATATATATAAATGTTCAAGCAACAGTTTATAGTGGACTAACTTATGCTTCCAATTTTTCATTTTTTTTTTTTTTTTTTTTTTTTTTTAGTTTGAAACAAGCTCGAAAAAGTTAAAAAAAAAAATAGGAGCAAACGTCGGCCCACTCTGAGTCAAGGCTTAAAAATTTTGATATTTGATATAAGATTTTTGAGAATTTTTTCAGATTTTTAAATTGTGATCAACAATGTCGGCTTAAAAAATGATAAATAAATCAAATTTATAAAAAAATCTGAGTGTATTTTGGAGTTGGAACAATAACATAAAAAATCACGAACCAAATCTGAGAGGTCAAGGGTCAAACCTAGGCGATTTGGCATGGAATGCCCCGTATACAGATACAACTGTTGCTATAAAAAAGTATGTGTATAATCATATATATTATTTAGTAATAATTTATTAACTTTTAGAGAACTACAGAAATAACATCTTTAATTATAAAAAAAGAAAATGCTCCTTTAAATTAGTATTTAAAAATTTTTGAAGTTGTTAATTACTTGAGATCATAATTACAAGATTTAAAATAAACAATTCAATGGCCATTAATTAGTTAATTTTCGTATATATAGAAATTAATCTATATCAAACTTGATAGCTATGATTTTTTTAAACAGCCTATAAATCCATTAAAATTACAAGCATAACACACAAATTGATGCATATATTATATATTTGATCATTGTATTAAATGTTATTTTTAATTTCAACGTCGGATTCGTAAACTGATAAATTAAATAAATTTAAAGACACTTGTATATACTGATTTGTACACTTTGTACATGGTTCAAGAAAATCTAAAAAGATTCTATTCGTGTATAATGTCGTGAAATATAAGTGTCTCCAAATTGGTATCAGTAAATTTTATATACATTAGCTCAAGGATGTATCACTGGTACAATCTTAGACAAAAGTGCATGAAATTTGAAATACTTAAATATCTATGCCTAACGGATAGTAAATCTAGATGTAAGATACTCAAATGATAGTAGGAGTCTTATTTTTACTCCTACAAAGGTATTTTTTACTTTACAAATGTTTTTTCCAGTATTATTTGCAATTTTTGTAATTTATGAGCCTAAACTTTTGGCAGTGAAAATTCCCTGATTTCAACTTGATAATGTCAAATTATTAATAAAATTAATAATTAATAATTAATTAATTATATTAATTATCATTAATTATTAATTTATTTCTTTAAAACGGTGTAGTGAAGACACGTGAAACTTGGCAGATATTTTCATTTCGTCGTAAACTAGATGTACAAAAAAATTCAAAATCGTGGTAGCGTTCCTTCAACATTTTTTTAGCTGTTTTATCCGTCAAAATCGTCTCTTTCCATAAGAATACTTGTAAACGCAGTGAAACGTAAAATCGTTATATCTCAGCAACTGTTTAGTGGTGTCGTTTCTACTTTTTTTGTAGCACATCAGGAAGACTAAAAGAACCGTCTCACAAATTTTTATCCACTTGGTAGTGCTTTGAAAATAGGTGCAATACATCCTTAAGGATGTTCTGGCGCTAACTTTCTAACATTAACAATATCTTGAAAATTTAATATAGGTATTGTTTCTATTTATTATCTGAACATGTGTGCAAAACCTGAAATCGATTCTCTAACCGATTTTTAATTTTACATGAGTTCTTATGAAATGACAGCATACTCTCACTTATATAAACAAAATTATAAGGAAGTACCATTGACAATATTCTGAAACTTTGTTTGTGAGTAAATAAAATACTGAGCAACGTTTCTAAAAAAGTTGATATTGCTTCACTGAGGCATTCTCAAGTTATTAATGAAAAAGCAATGTAAAATTCTGAAAATAGGTTTAAGATACATAGGGCTAGAAAGATAAATATTTATGTCCATGACATTTTTTTACACATCTTATGCGTTTTTAAGTATTATTTAATATCTGTATACATAAAATATTACTAATATATGTAACATTTTGTCGTTTCTTACAATTTGTTTAAGGTAAAATTCACATCCAAAAGTTTTTTGCTGACAATCATAAAATTTGCAAAATGTATAAATATATTTATTTGTAGTGCCAAATATCATATTAACGAGCATTATTTAAGTCCTTTACATGATACGAGCACATATGGTGCATGTCTTAACTCACAAAAAAGCATAGAATTTTACCCAATTTTAAATTAAAGTAATTTTTGTCTGGGATTGTATAGCCAGATCATCCTTAAGCATATCCTGGTAAAAAAAATCTTTATATAAATATATGTAATTATATATTTAAAAAATTACATATTTTCTTTATATAATCTCTGTCCATATACATAGGAAAAATAATGAGGATAATTTAAAATAATTATAAAAATAACTTTTGCATTGTTTTTTTTTTACAAAAATATAAACTTGTGATTAGATTATACAATATCCTATATATAATCATATGTAATTTTATTTTATATGTGATCATTATACTCATATATAACTATATCTAGATATTTTTTCTCATTTTGTCAAATTTTACTTTTTGGAAAAAAATGCAATATTTTATTTTTCCAAATTATTTTCTAATTTTTCTTATTTTTTCTCTTAATACAAACAGAAATTGTACAAGAAAAAGAAAACAAATATTTTTTATGTATAATTATAAACATTTGTTTTTTATTTTTAATTTCAAATAAAATTATATATAAAAAATTTTGTACAGGAACGTATTGTCTCTTGGGGGAGAATTTTTGTAATTTCAAAACAATTCTACGACCTACTAAAAACTAATTATGCAAATATTAATCCAAACATGGAACTTTCAAGCAGACCTTCTTTTACGGACTGAACGTAGACTGGATTGTCACCAGAAACTTTCATTCCAAACCCAGCATCATCCTTGTATACGACCAAAGTGGCGATGGGCGCTGGGTCGATGGCTCCACCACTGATGGTGCCTGCACCAGCCCCGACGCTGTGTCGTAGCGCTGCCGTTCCATTCATCCCTCCTTTGAGCGCCACCCTGCCTCACCTCTGTTGCTACCGACCTGCCATAATTCTCTCTTATACTATAAGGTTTTTCAAAACTCTTCAAAGCACATTTGACGAAGTGAGGTTTATTCCATATAAAATTCTTAATAATACAGTTATATATGCATATTTTCATACAAAATACATAATTAAATTGAAAAAATAATTTTACGAGATTCTCTTAAAAATCTTTCTCTATTATTTATCGTCATTCCTCTCATGCAACATATGATATGTATATAAAAATACGTTTTTACACATACATGTGAGTTGAGTTAAAAAAAATAATATAAATTAAAAATACAATTCTGGCATCCTGTGAATACTTTGAACTTATATATATACATATACATTACATATACATATACAATATGGGTATATAAAACATAACATTTTAAGAAATTTGTTTGAATTCACTCTATTCATCAAAATATGCAGGAATGGAGAGTTGTTGAAAATTATATTTAAATTAATTTTTGGAACCCTCCGTATAAAGCAGACTTTCAATAAATATAAAGTAACTTAGGCAACTTAGAAATATTATTTTAGGCAAAAATGTGTTATACGATCATAGATCATGTTCTAAATCTTAATGAATAATCAATCCATTGATCGAGTTTCTGTTATTGAAAAAGATTAAGAAAATTAATCTCAAATTATAATAGTAATATATCCTTGCCACTACATTAGTATTTTCAGACAAAATTTTTTCAATAATTGATTCATTTATTAATTTTACTTATTTGAAAACAACTGTATAAAATACAGAACCTGAAGTAATAATAAATATGCAAGTTTAAGTTATGAAATGTTAAATTATCTTTAAAAAAATAAAATTAAAAATAAAAAAATATAAAGAATATTCCTTATATGCCTAATATTCCTTACATTCCTAAAATAAGTCTGATATATTAAAGAAGAATATTTTCTCATGTGAATAATGATCCAATTCTTACATTCAATATCTCTAATTGTTTGAATTGTTTTTTATTAAACAGATAGTATGCAATGGTATAATAAACCAAATATCGGCAATAACTTATTTACAATATAGTAATTCATTTGTTGATATCAAAAGCATAACTAAAAATATATTTCAACCTACAAATATATTTTGAGATAAATAATGATATTCTATGTTTTATTTCTTTTTCTTACAAATTATTTAACATAAAACTTATAAACTTTTTATAAATTTATAAATAAATTTGATTTTTTTTATGTATGAAAACTAACTAGGATGAAGTAAAGATTTCTACACTCACAGACAATTCTTATTTAAAAATAATCTCCCTAATAAACTGTTGTACTTTATAAACTTTGTTATAAAATATATTCTGTATCTTTCTGAATACATATACAATAACTGGAAAAATAAATAAAAACTTGTAAGTACATTAAATAAAGTAAAATCTCATTCATATGACAATCAATAATCTATGTAATCAGGAACAATCTAAATAACAAGAAATTTTAAAGAAAATTTTGTAAAATATGTATATTTTAGGAATTTTTTAATACTTCAAAAATTTTAAGAAAAGATACAATACTTCTTAATCTTGAGACGAAGTCTAATAGTAGATGTAGTACATTGCAGGTTTTGTACTTGAATAAAAGTCAATTTTATTCATTACTACATTGTATTAATCACAAGAATATTATTTTGTGTAATTTTATTTAAAAATCAATATATTTATATTATAATACAATAATATATCATAGCATTAAAGTAAAGATATAAAAAAGATTCTACATTGAAATTTAAGAGCAAATATACTTTTTTGTTGCTTTAAATAATAAATAATATTTAGTAATAATTTATTATTATAATTATTATTTACCACCTACTTATTTATCATCCACACGTATGTACGTACGTTCGTACGCACGTACACGCGTGCATATAATTGATATTCTTTGAAATTTTGAGATTATGTTTGCTAAATTAGAATAGTAAGTACACAAGTCTGCTAGTAAAAGTACCTATTATCTTGTCTCTTAACACTTTTACTAGGAAAGTTATATAAGTACATAAAAAAACAGATGATGATTTTAATGAAACAAATACATCACGCTCTTGTCTTAATAAAATGTTATTTGGTTCATAAATATTGTTATCAAATTAACAAGATCATTTTCAATAAGACTAATGCTAGTACATATTTTTTCCATATATAAATTTACACTAGTAAATCTATACGGGGTCCCAAGTTTGTCCATACAATCTTTAGTAGTATTCCAGTGAACATGTCTCGAATCAGGACATTAAACCTTTTAAAGACATCATATGTCCCGATTTCAGACATGCATGTTGTCTGAGATGTTCCACAAGCAGAAATAAGAAAGAAATGTTACATAAACATGGATCCCAAAATACTTTATTAGAAAGTTATAGCAAAAATTAAGACCATTGCACGTAACAAAGTTTTAGTTTTAATCGTAAGGCTGTAAGAAAATAGACCAATCACACTCGATTATTCTTCAAGCACGAGAAGAATAATCGACTGTGATTGGTCTATTTTCTTACGGCCTTACGATTACAACTAAAATATTGTTACGTGCAATGACCTTTATAATTTTATAGTGAAGAAACAATAACCATCTTGCCAAAGATACGTAACACACCGTATACATAAGTGATACACAGTTTGATGATGTTTACCTTACTTACTTCTTCTAATTGTATTTACTATTTGAAATAATTGAAAATAATTATGAAAACTTGTATGAGTACTAGTAATGAACAGTACCTTGTAAAATATTGTCCCAAAATGCTGCTACAAAGAATACGCAGATATTCATTTTGTATACATCAAGTACCAGGGAATGCAGTGGCTTCTGTTAGACAATATTAATGAATATTCCTTAATTAAAGAATGCCATATCACACTCTTTACAAATATTTATTTGCAATTATGACAGGTGCAAATTCCTAGAGTAATAAGTTTAATATTAAATACTGACATAAGCTGGCAACACTTTAAAATGCAAACTTAAGTAAAATTGTTTCTTATACATTTCATACTTTTGCTACAACTTTCTAATAAAGCATTTAGGATCTGTGTTTATATAACATTTTTTTTCTTATTTCTTCTCATAGAACATACTACTACAGTTTGTATGGAAAAATCTGGGATATCCTGTATAATTACTAATTTCATGTCTTTGCTGTAATATATATGTATAACAGACATAATGACAAACAATGCAAAAGTGACATCATGTTCTACAAACCATATTAGAATAATTTTAAATTTGTGCTAAAAAATGATATCTTGTGACCTATAAGCTACAAACAAGATACAAGTGTCACGTTGAAATGTGACACGTAGCATTTCTTCTTCATGAAAGATACATATATGCATAAGCTTAAAAATATATATAAATTCAAAAGAAAAAAATTCTTGGAACATGTACAAAAATTGTATAATCAAGATTATACAGGAAATGTTCTAATATTTATATGTTCAATATAATAAGTATTCAGAAAATGCAAAAATATGAAAACTATACTGAACATTATTGCAGAAACAATAGAGTTCCAGAAATGAAAACATCTAGTTAAGTTAGAGCAAAGAGAGATGTACAAATCTAGGTTTCCAAAAAATGACACAATTTAAAAGTTAGCAATGGACAGGCAAAGTCAGCAAAACGTACAAATACTGATGAACTTAAATATATCTAAGCAACAAAGTTCGACTACAAAATAAACATACATGGTATAATGCAATTACCTTTCATTTAATCTTTACTTGATAGCAGCAAACACAGGCAAGTGATTTCTTACGAGACGCGGGACGGGATGGGACAGGACGGGACGAGAGACGAAATGAGACGATATGAGGCGGGGCGAAACGAGATGGAACGAAATGAGATGAGACGGTCGGGACGGAACAAAACGGAACAGAACGGAACGGAACAGAACAGGACGAAACGAAACGAAACGAAACGAAACGAAACGAAACGAAACGAAACGAAACGAAACGAAACGAGACGAGGCGAAATAAGACGCGACGAGAAAACGAGGCAAGAAGATGAAAAAATCATATGAAAAAACCAAGATATATCGATGCGCGCGCGAGATCGCTTCAGCGAGACAGCACGTTGCATGAGAGTGTTATATCACAGGATTGTCACAACAAAAAGACACTTCATGAACATGGCTGGTGACGGGCAACTGTTCCGCTTCTCGCGCACAGCATCCCGACCACGGGACGTCTCAAGCACAAGGCATCGCGGAGAATGACGGGTTTCGGGCACGGTCAGGCACGGATCGCGATGACACGCGGGCACGTGAACGCCACTGCACGAAAGACACCAAACGTAGCTTTTTTTTTACAAAATACGCATGAAACCAAAGAAAAATACACTACTAACAAATGACAGCCATATTGGTACAAGCAACGTCTAGACCACTTGTTACGGCGTTATGTAGTAGGGTGAGCTCGCTGATCGTCTGAAGCCTGGCCATCGCATACAAAATTGCATACGTAGCATAAAGCGGGAAACACATACTACGTTTACGCGAGCGTTATTTCTGTGGTAACTTACGATAATTCCTTCGCGTAAACGGGATTTTGTAGTAACTTACGATAATTTACTCCGCGTAAGGCCCCGGACACACACTTTTTCGTAACAGTAACAGTAGGATTTCGACCAATCGTGTTACTCGATTCGGGAACGTATGGCCGTACGTTTTCGAATCGAGCAACGCGATTGGTCGAAATCCTACTGTTACGTTCTACGGAAAGTGTGTGTGGCCAGCTTAAACGGGTGAATTATTATAAGTTACTATACAGAAGTAACGCTCGCGTAAACGTAGTAACAGGCCTAGTTTACACCGATCTCTTGATCTTGATACGCGTAACAAATAGTATATTTGAACTGATCAGCCAATAATCAAACTAATTTATTAGTTATTTACTATTTAATACGCGTATCAAGTGATTGATGTAAATTAGGCCACAGACTTTTGCATAAAGCCCCTTGCACAATAGGCGATAACGATAGCCACGGTGTAAATAGACAGGTGAAGTATTGCGCATAATGGCGGCAGGTTTGGCGATTAAACCAATCAAGAGGTGACCCGTTTTGTAGGCGCTCACTTTAAAGTAAAATTCAATTATAAGAAATAAAAATGCGTGAATCATGTAAAATTTTAAATATATATTTAATGAAATATAATAAAACCTTAAATTAATTAATTAATTAATGAAAGAAAAACGGAATAAATGAATAAACTAATAAACGATTAACCCTTAAGCTGCATATGGCATCCGACCCAAAGTGATATCTGCTTGTAATTGTAAAACTTGCAAGCCTGTCAGAAGATATTCGTCAATTGCAATGTAGACAGATGTTTTATAAATTTTTTTGGATTTTTAAAAATAGTAGGGAAAAATAGCATTGAACAACGTGACAGACCCACGTATACACACCTCATAGAAGTTAGCCGGACAATTTCGATTTATGACATTTTTTTTTACGAATCGATTGTTAGTCGTTTGTTATTGATTGTTAGACTAATTATAACGTTTGTTAGTTAATAGTTTTTACGTAATCACGAAAATAATTTTTAGTGTTAAATAGCCCGTAAATATAGAATTCTTTACAATTTTTGGTTCAAACCGTGGTCAATCGATGCGGAATCGTTTGTTAGTTCCGAATATACTAATTAAAACGTTTGTTAGATCACGGTTTCGCTAAAAAAGCGAAAAACTGTACATCGTTTAGCTGCCGGAGAGTGGGGGTAAGACGTAGAATATGTGGTGGTTTCGGAACGCATTACGTAATAGGGTAATTCTTCAGTTTAGCTACAGCAGCACAAAAAAACGATGAATTTAGGCTCATTCGACGCGTTTTTGCACAAAACGTCTCACCCGCACTCTCCGGCAGCTAAACGATATACAGTTTTTCGGTTTTTTTAGAAACCGTGATCTAACAAACGTTTTAATTAGTATATTCGGAACTAACGAACGATTCCGCATCGATTGACCACAGTTTGAATCGAAAATTGAAAAAGAATTCTATATTTACCGGCTATATATATAAATTAACACTAAAAATTATTTTCGTGATTACGTAAAAACTATTAACTAACAAACTTTATAATTAGTCTAACAATCAATAACAAACGACTAATAATCGATTCGTAAAAAAAATGTCATAAGTTGAAATTGTCCGGCTAACTTCTATGAGGTCGTATGCACTTAGAAGGTACCGAAAAAACCTATGCACTTTAAGGGTTAAACCTACCTGGACCAAATCAGGACAGAAGAAAGGAGTTTAATATACATAAATAAACTATAATGACATGCGTTACGAAATCAGGAATTTTAATCAAATATTATCTTACCTTGTTTAAGTTAGGTAGGTTTAATTGTTTATCAGTTTATATGGTAAAACTGAAGGAGAGCTCCCTCCTCACCGATTTCGATGAAATTAGGCTTAATCGATTCGTTTTTGCACAAAACGAATGAATCTGGCAGAAAAAAGCCCCGCTCGGCCCCGCGAAGCGAGATATTAACTGTTAAAGTTGACGACTATCAGGTTATGAGACCTGTCATACCGACGCGATGTAGCGACCACGAACATGCCCTGCGGCCACATGCGCATGCTCCGTAG